TTTAAGGGGGAGGTAACTAGTAGGGTGTTTGCAGAAGGTGGCACTGCTAGCCTGGTTTCCTTGTGGCCAGTCTTAGCCCACTTGTGCTGCTCCAGAAGGTACGAGGTTATCATACAGAGACCCTTCCAGGGGAAAGCCAAGGTTGGGATCTTCTCTGATCTCCTGCCAGGGGTGCTTTGGCTACTGCACAGACCTCAGCACAGCAGGGAAGAGGCCAACAGCCCAGGCCATTGCACCTGTGTCTTCTTACTTCTAACGAGGGGAAAGGAAGGCTTTTCTTTCTTTTTTTTTCTTTTATTATTCATATGTGCATACAAGGCTTGGTTCATTTCTCCCCCCTGCCCCCACCCCCTCCCTTACCACCCACTCCACCCCCTCCCTCTCCCCCACCTCAATACCCAGCAGAAACTATTTTGCCCTTATTTCTAATTTTGTTGAGATAAGGATAGCAATACAGGGCATTGACTCACATTGATTTCCTGTGCGTGGGTGTTACCTTCTAGGTTAATTCTTTTTGATCCAACCTTTTCTCTAGTTCCTGGTCCCCTTTTCCTATTGGCCTCAGTTGCTTTTAAGGTATCTGCTTTAGTTTCTCTGCATTGAGGACAACAAATGCTAGCTAGTTTTTTAGGTGTCTTACCTATCCTCACCCCTTCCTTGTGTGCTCTCGCTTTTATCATGTGCTCATAGTCCAATCCCATTGTTGTGTTTGCCCTTGATCTAATGTCCACATATGAGAGAGAACATATGATTTTTGGTCTTTTGGGCCAGGCTAACCTCACTCAGAATGATGTTCTCCAATTCCATCCATCTACCAGCGAATGATAACATTTCATTCTTATTCATGGCTGCATAAAATTCCATTGTGTATAAATACCACATTTTCTTAATCCATTCGTCAGTGCTGGGGCATCTTGGCTGTTTCCATAACTTGGCTATTGTGAATAGTGCTGCAAGAAACATGGGTGTGCAGGTGCCTCTGGAGTAACCTGTGTCACAGTCTTTTGGGTATATCCCCAAGAGTGGAGTTGCTGGATCAAATGGTAGATCAATGTCTAGCTTTTTAAGTAGCCTCCAAATTTTTTTCCAGAGTGGTTGTACTAGTCTACATTCCCACCAACAGTGTAAGAGGGTTCCTTTTTCCCCGCATCCTCGCCAACACCTGTTGTTGGTGGTGTTGCTGATGATGGCTATTCTAACAGGGGTGAGGTGGAATCTTAGCGTGGTTTTAATTTGCATTTCCTTTATTGCTAGAGATGGTGAGCATTTTTTCATGTGTTTTTTGGCCATTTGAATTTCTTCTTTTGAGAAAGTTCTGTTTAGTTCACTTGCCCATTTCTTTATTGGTTCATTAGTTTTGGGAGAATTTAGTTTTTTAAGTTCCCTATATATTCTGGTTATCAGTCGAAAGGAAGGCTTTTTGTTCAGGACTTTCTGGCCATGGTAAGCAGATGAGGGGTTTGTTTTGACTTAGAACAGGGTGCCATTGGGGGACTGCTCCCTTCAAAGGCTGAGTCTGGACCAGACAAGCTTTCCCCCTTAGAGATGCCTGGGGAGGAAAAAAGAGGTTCGGAAAGCCATGTGCCTTGGCTATCCCAATAGCCTCCACTTCTTTCTTTGAATCTTAGTCTGGTCCCTACCCAGAAAAGCTCAGGAAAACTCAGAATGGGGAATAGGGAGCCAGAGCCAGCTCTGGATGGGCGACTTCTCAGAATGCCTCCTTTCTCTCCTTTCCCAGGCTTCCTGTGACCTTCCCTCTCCAGGCAGGCAGCCCTGGCCTCCTGCCCAGTTCAGACTCCCCAGGCCCCAGGCTGGACTCAAGAAGGGCAGGAACACAGGATGCAGAGGTCCTGGAAATGGATGACAGGGTAGGGACCAGCCCTTGTCTTTTTATATGTGAAGGTGGTAGCTAGGGTGGTACACCCTAAATGGAATGACGACCCTGGGAGACTAGAAATGTGAGGTCTTTTCATTTTACCAAGGGAAAATTAACTGATGATAAATAGTGATTCCTTAAACTGATAACATGAGAAAAGAAAAAGCAAAAAGTTACTTCGGGTAAATTCACTCTAATGCTAGCCATTTATGTAGGCTGCTTCTTATTTAAGCTTATTTATAAGTGAGTTAGTGAAAATATATATATATATATATATATATATAGTGAATATATATATATTCACTATATATATGAGTTATATATATATATAGTGAATATATATATATATAAACTCATATAGTCATTGTCATATATATATGTGTGTGTGTGTATATTTTGGGAAATTATTGATCTTCTGTCTTATTTTGTCACAACACCTAACTCTACATATGTGCTCAGACTTCAGGAGCTGCTCCATAATGACCTTGAACTGTGCTGCAGAGTCCCATCCTGTCTGGCCACATCTTCGTCTCTCATTTGTGATTGCCCAGGCTCCTTCTCTCAGTTCATAGCTCTTCCCATGCACACCCACCCTTGCTCTCTGGATTTTGACTTCCACATTTATGTTGCCAATACTTTCTCTCCAGCCCGCATCTCTCCCCAGGCTTCAGAAGCGCCATCTAGTTGCTTGATGGGCATCTTATGTGGACACCACACACGTTCTCCATCTCAGTGTGGGCAGAAGTGGGCTCCCATCCCCACCTGTTCTGTGTTTTCTGTCTCCATATTTAGTGAGTCCATCCTCTTACCACCTATGCTTGAAAGAGGTGGAACTGACCCAACTCGTTCCTTTCTCTTACACCTGCATTGACAGATCATAAATATGCATAGGATCCATCCTATCTTCCCCACTGCACTGCCAGGCCAAGATGGTATCTTTGCTGAATAAGTGCCCAGCTCAGGGAGCTCCTCATTGGCTCACGGCTCCTGGTCCCTTGTTAGGTCCCCACTCTCTGCTGTTCCCAAGCATACTCAATGATAGGATTCCATCCACTCAGGCTCAAGGTCAGTGGTACTGCATCTTATTGCAAAGCTATGGAAAACTGACACCCAGTGGTCCAAGCGAAACACCCAGAAACTCCAAGGTGGTTTTTACATCTCCACATACTCTCAATGGGGTCAGACCCTTTTCATTTTAAGAGCTAACTGACTAATCCCTGGGAGGAAATGGGGTGTAACAAAATAAAAAATAAGAGAAATGCACAGGCTTACCCAATTTTCTTATCCACACAAGAGTTTACAATCTCTGGTATCTACTGTAGCTCATTTGGGTGTCTGACCAGCTCTCTTCTATCTGAAGTGGAATTCACTGGGCTTTCTCTGACTTCAGACCTTCATCTAATCAGGAGCTGAAGGCTGAATTGAGTTAGTGTTCCTTTTGGACTCAAGTGAGTCATTTGTATCTTGGAGGACATTTTGATACATCTAATACTTTAGACCTCTTCCCAAACCAGAGCAATCCCTCCTCAAATATGCTCAACAGAAATGCAAACTGTGTAAGACAACACAGTTGGTGCTCCATATCTGTGGGTTTCTCATCTGGAGAGTCAACCAACCTCAGATCAAAAATATTTAGAAAAGAAAATGCCTGAAAGCAAAACTTGAATTTGCCACGCATCGAGTGCTATGCTGAATCTACATGAATGAAGTGATGTGTTAGCATTGGGTTAAGTGTTATAAGTAAAATAGGTAATGGTTTTAAGCCCACAGGAGATTGTGCATGGGTTCTGTGCAAACACTATGCCATTTTATGTAAGGGGCTTGAGCATCTCTAGGTTTTGGTTTCCACAGGGAGTCCTGGAACCAGTCCTCCACGATAGCAAGAAACAACTGTATTATATTTTAGGAGTTTATCTTCCATTCTGTTTGGTAGCCAGCAGCTTTCAAAATTAGGTGTAGTTAATACAGAATATCACAAAATACTACTTCCTTTTTTGTGAATTCTTTTAAGAACCTTCTTTTAAGGTTATTTTAATAAGCACTGTCTTACTGCTAATACAATTGTCTTATTGTCAATACAATAAGACAAGAATGACTAAGACTGAAAGGTCAAAATTAAAGTAGCCATTTCTAAGGTCATAAAAACAGTATAAAAAATGCAGTTAGGGCAAGATTTTGCTCAGGAGTTTAAATAGCCTACAAGAAATAATAAACAATTTAAACATGTCTTTCTATAGTATATGTGTATATATATATATATATATTAAAATAACCAAGTAACATATTTTATCTTTATGAGATAATGCAGATATAGAGGAGAAATGAGCACAATTTCATTTGTGATTGTTTTATATTTTTCAATCTTTACACTTGTGCCTCAAAGTGTCTTACCTGCAGCTGACATTCTTTTTTTTTCCCCCATGGCACTGGGGTTTGAACTGAGGAACTAACACGTGCTAGGCAGGTGCTCTACCACTTGAGCCGTTCCACCTGCCCCTTTTGTGTTGGGTATTTTCAAGATAGAGTCTCTCAGTTATTTGCCCAGGGCTGGCTTCCAACCATGACCATCTGATCGCTGCCTCCTGGGTAGATAGGATTATAGGCATGAGTCACCCATGCCAGGCTAGTAGCTGATACTCTTGCAAGTTAAGAAAAGGAGCTACCTGGGCACCAGTGGCTCACATCTGTAATCCTAGCTACTCAGAAGGCAGAGATCAGAAGCACAGCAAGCAAAATAGTTTGCAAGATACTATCTTGAAAAAAACCATCACAAAAAAGGGCTGGTGGAGTGGTTCAAAGTGTAGGCCTTGAGTTAAAATCCCAGTACCACAAAAAAAAAAAAGGAAAGAAAAAAAGAAAGAAAAGGAGCCAAATGATGTTGTTTATATTCATAAAAAGGTCCTGGATAAAATGGCTGTACTCAATTTTTCAAAATGTTAAAAAAGTTTTCAAGATCAAAAAAAAAAAAAGAACCTTCTTTTACTATCTTTGACCCAGCATTCTGCTGGGGATGTGGTAGGCAACCAATAAATTTTGGATAAATTGAGTTGATTTTTCCTTAATACTTAATATTCATTCATTAATTAATAAATTAATATTTACTGTTCCTTTCTCCTCTTACAGAATGAAGACATTCAAAGGTTGGTTTAAATATACCCTACAGCAGAAAGTTTTCATCCTGTTTTTAACCCTATGGCTGTTCTCCCTGTTCAAGCTTCTAAATGTGGGAAGACTCTTATTTCCTCAAAGAGGCATTTACTTGGTCGAGTACTCTCTAAGTACCTCACCTTTTGTAAGAAACAGATACACTCATGTTAAAGACGAAGTCAGGTATGAAGTCAACTGTTCTGCGATCTATGAACAGGAACCTTTGGAAATTGGCAAGAGTCTAGAAATAAGAAGACGAGACATCATCGACTTAGAGGATGATGATGTTGTGACAATGACCAGTGACTGTGACATTTATCAAACCCTAAGAAAGTACCATCAAAAGCTTGTTTCAAGGGAAGAGAAGAGCTTCCCAATAGCCTATTCTTTGGTTGTCCATAAAGATGCAATTATGGTTGAAAGGCTCATCCATGCTATATACAACCAGCACAATATTTACTGCATCCATTATGACCTTAAGTCACCTGATACCTTCAAAATTGCCATGAACAACTTAGCTAAATGCTTCTCCAATATTTTCATTGCTTCCAAATTAGAGGCTGTGGAATACGCCCACATTTCCAGACTCCAAGCTGATTTGAATTGCTTATCAGACCTTCTCAAGTCTTCAGTTCAATGGAAGTATGTCATCAACCTGTGTGGGCAAGATTTTCCCCTGAAGTCAAATTTCGAATTAGTGTCAGAGCTGAAGAAACTCAACGGAGCAAATATGTTAGAGACAGTGAAACCCCCTACCAGTAAAATGGAAAGATTCACTTACCACCATGAACTCAAACGGGTGCCTTATGAATATGTGAAGCTACCAATAAGGACAAACATCTCCAAGAAGGCACCTCTCATAGCATTGAAATATTTGTTGCAGTGCCTATTTTGTTTTAAGTCGAGCATTTGTTAATTATATTTTCAACAACTCCCTCATTGAAGACTTTTTTGCCTGGTCTAGAGATACATACTCTCCTGATGAGCATTTTTGGGCTACCTTAATCCGGGTACCAGGAATTCCTGGGGAGATTTCCAGATCGGCCCGGGATGTGTCTGACCTACAAAGTAAGACCCGCCTTGTTAAATGGAATTACTATGAAGGCTTTTTCTACCCCAGTTGTACTGGCTCTCACCTTCGAAGTGTGTGTATTTATGGAGCTGCAGAATTAAGATGGCTTATGAAAGATGGACATTGGTTTGCTAATAAATTTGATTCTAAGGTAGACCCTGTCTTGATTAAATGCTTGGCAGAAAAGCTTGAAGAACAGCAGAGAGAATGGATCACTTTGTCTTCGGAAAAATTATTTATGGATGAAAATCCCACAATCACATCATCATTGTAAGATCATGGCAGAAAGAAGAAGGAGTCTGACAGACTATGCCATGCCTAATACCACTTGAATTTAACCTGAGTTTGAAGTTGTCAGATATTTCATGCACTAAGGAAATCCATCAAGACTTTGATAATATGAGCCTGCAGTTTGTTGGGGTTTTTTAAATGTTTATTTTTGCTTGTAATCTCACTGAGCTGAATCAGAACTCTTACATATTCAGCCAATTATCACATATTTATTGATCACAAAACTGTGTGCCAGGCATAATTTTAGAAAGCCTGCAGGAATTAAATCCAAGTTGTTATGAGTTGCACAATACCCTCAGGAAGCGAAGGCTTACCTTTGTCACGTAGCTTATCCTTGTCACTAGTGGCAACCTCAGTACCTTCGTGTTTCCCAAAGTCCAACAAGGATTCTACTAAAGAACCTTTGAAGTATGTGTTAATCACACAATCCACTCATTTTAGACTAGTGTGTAAGTACAATTTCCAGCATTCTTCCAGTTCCTTAATTTTGCTTTCTAGATGTTTCTGAACCATTAGCATATTAGAGAAGAGACTCCACTACCTCAGAGAAGCTCGATGAATTAATTGTCCAGTTGCCTGCTTGCCAAAGTATAATTTACCTTTTGGTGCCTCACTTGTTCATTCAGGTTGCGGGACTCAGTTGGTATGGCATTTGTAGTGGAAGGATGTCAGGGAAGGTTGTGGGACTGGTGGGTAGGCACACTGGGACAGGTGGTGCCTGAAGAACAAAAGGGTTTGTTAGAGTTTCACGTGTGTCACACAATAGCATTATGCATGCTTTTTAATTCAGCTGCTTTTTATTCTTTTGTTTTGTGTTTTGAAACTGGTTTTTACTATGTAGCACAGGCTGGCCTCAAACTCATGATCCTCCTACCTCAGCCTTTGAGTGCTGGAAGTATGGGCTTGTGCCACCACCTGGTTTTCAACTGTTTCTTAAAAACATACAGATGAAAAACAAGAACTGATTAATAGTTTAAAGTATCACATATCAGAACCTTAAACCTACATCTTCCATTTCATAGGTTATCATTATTGATAAGGTTTTTATTACAATGAAACACTTCCTATAGAATAAGCACAATTTTGTTTTATGTAACTATCAAATCACTAAATTTTCTTGGAAAGGTTTATGAAATACAATAACGTTCTAAGTTAATTAGTATGGTCATTTAAAACGTTTCTTTTGTGGCAAGTGTCAAAGTAGAATCCATATTTAAAATGATAAAAGCTATAAATTCATTGCAGTCTTCTGAATTTAGCACCAAAGAGAAAAAGCTAATTTTCCCAAGGACACAGCAAGACTATTTGATACTGATAATTTGTAAAACACACACACACACACACACACACTAATGACTATAATGTGCTGAGGCAAAGTCCTAAGAACAGGCTGGCAGGCTGTAACGTTTTCACTAGTCTCTTGAAAATGTAGTAATCAAGGCCAAAACAGAGCTATTTGGAAGAGTGAAGTTTTGGTTTTTGGTTTTTTTTCTTTACATTTCTGTGTTCTACATGTGAAATGTACTTTGTGTGTTTAAAAGTTCATGATAGCACCAGGTTTCTCCCTTTCTTCTCTTTAACTCATTTTTTTACCCCCTTCAAATTACTTCATTCTTCTAAAAACAATTATTACCAAGCCCCATTCTTAAAAGCAAGTAGCTAATAGAAAGCTAAGTTCTGCAAAGGACCTGCACCCATTCATTCATGTGTGAAACCCTGGAGAAGCTACTGTGTTGGTCGCCATTAGCCTTGGTTCTGGTCTTTGCAGTGAGCACTGGAATGTCTACCCTAGCTTCTTCACAAGCTTCTGATGAGAACCAATTGAAATAGCTTGAAAATAGGGACATACTGTGACATATCAGAGTGGTAGTAGTACAAAGCAAACATAGGTCCAACCCCACTGTGAGACTAAACCTTTACTTTCTGAAAAACCTTTGAAATACAAAAAGAGATCACAGTTGGGGAACTTCTGTCACCATGGGGGTTCTATTAAAGTCAATAGCATTAGCAAGTTGTTTTAGTGACTTAGATTAGGAATGGGGAAAAACATACTTTTTCTACCATCCAGGATTGAATACGCAAGGTCCTGTTGAATTGTTTTTATTCTTTGGTCATCAAAATAGAGGTAAATGTTGACAAGTGGCCATCAGCCTCCTGGTCCAGTGCCTTGCCTCTTCCTGATGAGAAATGATTCTATCCCTGTTCTTTGGGCAGTTCTCCAGGGGCTCATCACTTTACTGCTACATTCAGATGGAACATGGATGGGTGGTGAGGTGGCAGTGCCTTCTTTTCCCCACTGACACATTTCTCTGGACTGAGTTCCTCACATTTCAGGGAGCTTGTCAGATCACACTCTTTTGCCTTGGGAATCCTGCAGATTCCGTGTATGCCTTCAAACTTGATTCTTCCCTAGTCTGAGAATGTTCTGAAGTCTGTGCTTTATAATTTTTTATATAGTATTTATTTATATGAATCTGGACTTGAACTTTCTTAGAGATGAGACCAGGACCTTGGAGTTTGTAAATTATGTGTGAGTATTAGGTAGTAATGAAAGACCTTACCAAAATGTATCTTTGTGAACAAGCTAGTGGAATATATGTATTTAAAGGTCAATATTGCTGGTATTTTTAATATTTTGCTTATTTTAAGTAACATAAGTATTTAAATTTGAAGATTTCTTTTGCCCTCCACAATGTGAAGATATATGTACATACATACTTTCACATGTTTCCTGAAAAATAAAATGACAATCTGTTTGGGGAATGTAAAGTGAATGTATCCTTATGTATGTTACAACTATTTTTGGTTTTTGTTGATGATGAAATGAGAGTTTGGATTTATTTTAAATCTCATTTTGTTGTTGTTGTTCAGCATTTTAGCAATGAATTTCACATTATATGAGTTTTAAATAGATTGGTGTTTCATTTTTGAATTATGCTATAAGTAGATATCATTTCTTGGTATTGTAAAATAAACCATGCTCCAAAAACCAAACCCTTGGAATGTTTGAGCTTTCTTTGTCTCTGTGACTCTTGCCTAATATTTGAAGAGCAGAGTTCATTACACTTCAGTGTAAAAGAAATTCAGTGGGTGTATTGCACAAGGAATGTAGACACAAGGACCTATGTTGTTTAATTTGACAAGGAATCTTCAAAGCATCTTCCAGAATTACCTATCTTAATTCTTCAGATTGGTTTCTCCTCATTAATTATCTAGGTAAGTATTTTTGTTTGCTTTACTATGTTCTGAAATTTAGTTCCAATAGGGTGGGTTGAGCTCTTTTTCCAGTTCCCTCAGTCCCTGGAAAATCAAGAGTTTTCTGTCTTAGAAGAGCCTTGGTTATAAGGCCATAGACAAGTAGGGTCCACCTCTACCAGTGTCTCCAGGCTTTGCTGGCAGAGAAATAGCCTCCCTAAAATCGTAATAGTTACCTGATAAATCATAGTCCATCCATGAAGTAAGGCCATTTTAGAAATCTTCTAAATAAAAATTAACATTCTTCTCAGCCTAAGTTTAATTCTAGCTCTTGCCAAGCTGAACAACCATGCAAATCCACAGAAATTTTCAGGAAGCATTTGGACTTTTTTGGTGATGGTGGTAGGGTGAGTATATAGCATCATATTAAAGTCCTATATGTTTCAACCCTATATAGGAAGTTCCATATTTCTTGTTCTCATTTGGTGCATGTAAATCTACATCTAAATAAGAACAAGTGGCTTTTAGTTTCATGACACTGATTATGAGGAAACCCTGGCAAGAAAAAACAAAAAGATGATTGTAAATTTCTTCCCACTACTGGAAAGATATTCCTAAGATGAGGCATAATATCCCAAGCTTTACTTCAGAGATGTGATCAAATTAGTGACCCATGTTGGAAAAACCACAGGAAGACCATTCACCTGACCTTAGCCCTGGCCTTCCCACAGAGCAGCAAAGGCCTCCTCAGGTTGAATCATGTACAAGACAAACAGCCAAAAAAGAATTGGGTGTAGGAGATGGGGGGGATCATGGTCATTAACCTGGAAAATTTTATTTTTGTTATTGCTGTTTCCTGTACAATAATAAAGGAAATTAAATGGAAACAGTTTATATTCATAATTCCAACATCCTGATGAAATCAATAGTTCTCTGAATTCTTTTCTTTTTTTCTCCTTTTATTGTTTTTACATTTACCTGCATGTGTATACATTGTTTGTGCCACCTCTCCCGTCCCAGGCAGAACCTGTTCTGCCCTCTTTGATTTTGTTGAAGGAAAAACATAAGAGATAATAAGAAAGACATAGTATTTTTGCTAGTTTGAGATAAGGATAGAGTCCTAGCATTGCTTCCATGCACGTATGTATTGCAACCCACATTGGCTCATTTCTACCAGACCTCTTCACTACTTCCCATCACCTTCCCATAGTGGCCTCTGCCAATTTAAGATTACTTTATTCACTCCTGTACAGTGAGCACATCAACCACATTCAGATTTTAGATTTCCTTTCCTTTCCGTTTCTCCCGTGCACATTCTCCCCTTGGTGTATGACCCATGTCCAATAATATTACTGCATTTGTTTTGGGGCTATGATCCACATAGGAGAGAGAACATACAATTTTTGTATGTTCTGAACCTGGCCAACATCGATTATGATGTTCTCCAGTTCCATCCATTTACTTGCAAATGACAAATTTTCATTCTTGTTTGTGGCTGAGTTAATCTCTGAATCCTTTTCTAATCTTACGGATATACACATACCCTTTTTATCTCTCTACCTACTGCCAATATATTTGCCATCACATAATGACATGTTGCTACATGGTCATTATGGCTAGGTAATGATCATACCATAATTCCCTCAGCCTTTCCTTTATTGTAGGTCATTTAGATAGTAAACTACTTAATTTGTTGGATTTTTTTTTTGCTGTCAGATAAAAGTGATGTGAACAACTTTGTACTTACAGTTACCCCTTTCTTTAAATTATTAGTTCCTTAGGATGTAG